TCAGTGTCAGAAGTGGCCAAAGAGTGTCTCAAAGTATCACCGAAACAGTGGACAGCACTGGAAGTGGTGGCGGATGTGACTAAACCGGAAGACTTGCGACGACTTGTGGACACAACTGTCCAACACTTTGGAAAACTCGATGTTTTGGTGAACAATGCCGGCGCCGGTATTGTGGCTAAAATTGGTGATAAAGATTACAACGAGAAATACGTGCAAACAATGCAATTAAACCTCAATTCTGTGGTCTATTTAACGCATATATGTGTCGAGCATTTGGCGAAAACCAAAGGCAATGTTATCAACATTTCAAGTCTCGCCGCACTGTTTGGCGTTCGTATAGTTATCATAACTAATGATATTTTATTTGATAAAAACACTAAACAAATACAATTTTACACTACAACTTATTATAATAGGTCCCTGGTCATTCATCCTTTTGTATGGCTAAGTGTGCGATGGATATGTTCACCAAATGTATGGCTACAGAGTTGGCACCCAAACGTATCCGCGTTAATGTCATCAAGTTAGTTTACATTCATTAAGGAATATATCACAAATTATTAATTAAAACCACCTTGGTCACATTAGCTGTGGTCCTATTCGTACTGGAGAAAACGATGAAAAGTTATTGAATGCATCAAAATTAACCACGCTAAGTCGTATAGGCGTACCTGAGGACATGGGCAACGCTATCTCATACCTGGCCAGTGACCATGCTGCTTTCATCACCGGCACTAATCTTGTTGTGGACGGTGGGTTTTAGACCAACCCATGTTAGCCCTCTCGCATATATCTTTTCTAATTTACATTTTTATTTTTATAATTTATTCTAGCACAAACAATATTTTCTAGAAAATTCTGTAATGTTTTCATTATCCTATTTCGATGTAAAAGTAGTGATTTTTAAAAAAACATTATTTGCACTTTTTTGATCCAAGTTATATTTTTAATACCTCAGTGTAGTTTTTAAACAATTGTTGTTTCTAATGAAAATGTTTTTAATTTAATCCTATCACGATGTTGCATTATTATTAGATATAATATATTTTGTTTTTATAAAATTTTAAAAATTATAATACTGNCCTATCACGATGTTGCATTATTATTAGATATAATATATTTTGTTTTTATAAAATTTTAAAAATTATAATACTGTAAAAGGGTATCCTGGTGGGGGTATTGGTGTGCGTAATTCACAATTTGTCCTGAATGTCCTATTACAATTTATTTTTATAAATTTCAAAACAATTTGTCTTGAATGTCCTATTACAATTCATTTTTATAAATTTCAAAACAATTTGTACTGAATGTCCTATTACAATTCATTTTATAAATATATTTTAATCTCAATAAGACGTGGAATTTTTCTATTTTAAAGCATATATCAAAAATATGTTATCATTTTAATTCACATTTGTGGTCAATTCAAATACATTATACTAAGAACAAGAAAGCCAATTTATGAAAATTAAAAAAATTTACTACTTTACCCACTTTAGGGTTACCCTCATCGTTACGACCCGCTCGTGAAATTTTCATTCAAACCTCATTAACCCTTTCCGACCATCTTGACCTCCCCTCTCCTACCCTCTCCGCCTACCTTCTCGATCTATCCTCTCCTACACTCTCGGCCTACCCTCTCCTACATTCTTGGCCTACCTTCTCGATCTATCCACTCCTACACTCTCGGCCTACCCTCTCGATCTACCCTCTCGGCCTATTCTCTCCTACACTCACGGCCTACCCTCTCTACATACCCTCTCGGAATGCCATCTAGTATAAAGGAGAAATAATCATAGCATGGTGTTTTAATATAAAATTCTGTGCATGATAAGTATTATCAGTTACAATAAAGCTGATTTAAAAGGATATGGTCCAAATTCTCCTAAGCTGGCATTTTTGATTTGTTGATTGGAAATGAAAGCCCATTCAATGCTGAGTCCGAATTTGTCATTTATATTGTCCTGTGACCTCGGGTTCGGCCGCAGTGACCACTTTTACCGGGAATATT